CGGATGGACCTCACGACAACTATATTGCTACCAGTATATCTTTCGTCTCGCTAAAACTACTATCTTGAGGGTGATGATGGGTGGGTGGCTAAAATAGATCAGGGTGAGGGTTAGACTGAGTTACGAACACCGTTACCCACACTCGCTCACACCCACACCTTTAACTTAAATATCTACCAGTGAATCGATGATAAAAATGTATGTGAAATCCATAGAGCTAAGATATCGTCGATTATATATTTTTTATTAGTAAAAATTAGTTAAAATAACAAGCGATATTCAATATCTTTTTTAAAAAATACAAACCAACTTTAATCTAAATTCTAGAAATGTTATTTCACGTTTTCATACCCAGGTTGAACCATTGACGGATCCGGCTTGTGTCATTAGCGCAATAACAATGGACTGTGAACTGTGTGTTTTTGATGGAAGTAAAATATCGGTACTACCGCCCATTTGTGAATAGACTTTATCATTTTCTGGAATCAATTTCAAAGTTTTGACTGAAAAATCATTAGATTGAGCTGTTTTTCTTCGTACATTTTTGAATAGCCAATTTAGACATTTAATTCGCGGTTTCTTCAACACACCAATCTGTTCACATACGTTCCAAGCCATCTGACCAATATTATTTTCATAGGGAACCATAGTCTTGTCATGTAACAGATCTTTCATCCAAGATCGGTTGAAATTTAAATTAGGTTCAGTTGCGACTACGATTAAGCCATTCTTTTCATCTCTTGATTTATTAGTAGAAATGATGTAAGATAATTCTTGAAATTTATCAGTACTTTCACCATAGGCTGTTGATACCAAGATAATAATCACTGTTGCCGATATAATATTTGGAGATATGTATTCCCACATATCATCAGACAGGTCAACATTTTCATAGTCAACCCAAATTGGTATTGTTGTGCTCTTACGCAACTCTTTTACAAATTCTTTACAAAACTCTTCGTCGGTATGATCATAGCTAATGTAGATTTTCGATGACATTTCTTTTTTCTGTTCGTTCGGTGACATAATTTGCTGCATATTACACCAAATACGCTTTGCATCATCGCGTTTTGGGCGATTGGCTAGACTTTCTATGATTATACAAAACTGATTATTATCAATTAATTGTTTTAGATATTCCAGATAACTGGAAATCTGTAGTAGAATTCTTAGTAAATATTTGACAGCACGTTTTTCTAGTTCATCTAGTTCTGGATCTAGCAGAACTCCATAAAACGATAAAAAAAGTTCTGTAAAGTATTGTATTGCTGTTGATTTTTCATTGATCTTATCCTCCAAAATATGTTTGATTATATATGTATTTGTAAAAGCACGATCTAATAATTCCAGAAATTCCGATAAATGGCATCCATCAAATGTTAAGTCATCTTGTTCAATTTTCTTACATAATTGGTATAGATTTTCGCTAGTATCAAGAATGAGTTTTCTGTTTTCTTCCGATTGTTCATCAGTAGTAGCTAGTGCGATCAATACCCGACCATAACTTTTTGTCAACTCGCTATTGTTTTCGTTATTGATTAACTGCTTACGCTCCATCAAAATGTCGAACGCTTTTTCTGCACGAAGCTGTTTTAAAGCTGTCTTGTCTCTCGTCAAATTGTAAATAATGTGAATTATTGGATTACCAATATAACTGATATGAGACGCAAATCTATCTGTACGAATCCATTGGATAATTTTTTGAATATAATCAACATCAACAAACATAGAAATTATTGCAAGTTTATCGATCAGATTCCACACCAGATTTAAAATAGATTTTGTTACACGTAGTACACGCGAAGAAACATGTTCATTTGTGTTTGTTAAACAATCATTAATAAATTCTTGGAAAGAGATCATAAGAGAACTGTAATTGTTTCTAAATTCTTTATTCGACCGAATAACTACTTTAATAGCAAAGTTGCCAGCATGGATTAGGTATTGTGCCACGATATCGTGAAATTCAATGCTTTTTTCTTGTAAGGATTCTTCATTGGTGTCAATAGAATCTAAATAATTCAAAATATAAGTAGTGAAATGTATAGATCAAATGATGTTTGAGCCTTGCAATATATTACCTTCGGTTGTTACTAGTTCATTTGAAAGAAGTCGTCGAAAGCAAATTTCAATAAAATCATCTTTTACAAGGTTCAGAAGTATTGAATCCAAAATATCAGTGGCAATCACTGGAGAATAATCTTTTTTAGTGTCAATACAATATATTAGATTATTCAATTTCTCAAACATTGATTGAAAAGGTTGTCGTGATATAAACAAATCAGATCCATCAATAGCAGAGATGCGTACAATTATATTAAATGTTGTAATGAAAAACCATTGGCTTCAATATTCAATCAATATTCAATCAATATTCTTAGTTATATTGTTATAGATTGTCTCTATTTCAGTGATATTCATACTATTCAAATTAGTTGATAAACTTGAAAGTTTATCGATTTGTTGAAGCAGAGTGAGATAATTAAGTTTTGTTGTTTCTAATGTTGCGTAGTCAAGTTCTTCCATCTAAAACAAAATTTCGAATATATATTAAAAAATCGTCCATTTTTCGTTTTCTTCGTCACTGATTATAAATGCTAAATACGTATTCGATTTCGATCATCTAAACTGGATTTGCTGTCTGTAATATGAAGCATTAATAAACATATAGTAAAGGAAAGAAAGAAAGAAAGAAAGAAAGGAGTGGTACCGTATTCATTCGTAAAAAGAAAGACACAAGAAGAAGATTACTTATTTAAATATGTGTTTACCTTTTGTATAAAAAAATATGGTTGATAGAATGCAAATGTACTTTTTTCTCTCTGCTATTGCCGCCATGCATTTCTTACGTTTCAAACTGTCAGCTGCATCCATTTTTTTTTCTAAAATTGTAAGAGATGAATACTTGATATTAAATCATGAATTCATTAATTCAAACTGATATGATATTGAATAATGTATGTGTCCTATAGTTCTATTATTTTTCTCATTTTTTATGTCTTATTAGCCAATACCTTGGAGAGCTGCTATTGAGCGATTGAAATTTCAAAAGCGATCTTGTACAACATTCATTTCAAAAGAGTAAGTATGTGTAACTATATGAAAATTTTAATAATGAAATATTATTCGATAAATTAGAACAAATAAAGAATGTTGCGTTTGCAATTATACTCATTCGAAAAGTGACGTCCCACATGCAAATGAAGTATGGAATTGGGAAATGCACACAGAACAAGAAGTTACTTATTGTTATGGAATATTACCTCAATCAACTAGTCCTGTACGTTATATTTTGTTTTCTAATAAAAGAAAATTATTTCGTTCTTTTTTTTTCTTCTTAATACAGTATTTACGATGTGATGTTAAAACAGACTTTGAACAGCTTTGTTTCGTATTGCTGGGTGTATGGGGTATGGCTATTCCTGGTCTTATTATGCGAATGATAGGTGATATAGATACAACGCCAAATATTAAAATAGAGAAAGAACTTTTACAAAGTATTTCTGATGCTGCTGTTGCATCTGGTAAGTAAAAAAATGTATTAATAAATTCATAAAACAATACATTTATCTAGATGCATGGATTATTACAAATGGATACAAAGAAGAGAGTATTTCGGAATTAGTTGGTGAAGTAATGTACAATTGTCGAATGAATAATTCTCATATAAACTTCAGCGCAATTGCTGTTGGTAAATGGGGCAGTATTCATAATTGTCATAAACTTGATGAAAGGTTTGATCAATTTATTTATTTTTAAATTTAATATTGTTATTTTAGAAATCATAACACGCCGTTCACAATACAGAAAGGTCACGAACGATACAAACTGGAATTAAATCATACAGAATATGTATTTTTTGATGATGGTACATGTGATTCATTGGATACAGGAGAATTCGCCTCAAACTTCGCTCGGCAAATATCACGTGGAGCAAGACGAAGAATACCGCTGATTACTGTTCTCATCGGCGGTACTCCTCATTCACTTTCATCGATATATACTGATTTGAAAAGATATTGAATTCGATAGGGATGTGGACCATTGGCTGATATACTATATAAATACTTGAAGTTAACCCAAGGTTCTTATAAATCATCAAAAAGTGATGATCAAGATGAAACATTTACTGACTCTGAAGATGATTTAGATATAGCAACAATTAATGCAACATTTTCAGAAGATGATGATGAAACTTCGGTTTCATCAAATAAGAAAACGTAAGTTTATAGAGAAAAATCAAATAATACTATATATACATACACATATTAAAAGAAATGTTGCGATCACTTTGTAAATTTCGTCTCAATTTTGTTAATGATGTACGAAAACTTTATAATATTGTACGACAGCAAAATTATGAAACTCAAGGTAAAAGATTACCGGTGGGCGAACTATTGAGTTTGGAGGAAGAAAAAGCTCTTGGCAAAAATATTTATATCAAATGGCGAGTTGTTTGAATGCTCCTTTTCGAGATAATATTCATATTTTTAATATCGATTCATCAAAATCTCTCAAGGAAACAATTTAGTATGCATTTGTTCAAGGTAAATTTTTACGAAATTTCAAAATGAAATAATGACTTCTTTTTATCTTAATTAGCAAGAGATAATCTTTCACATACGAAGAAAAAATATCATAAAACTATTGATGGAGTATTGGTGATACAACTGAACATCAATCAGCGACTACTACAAAGATTTGGAATGATACTAATAAAGTAGAATGTTACTTTGACTTCTATTAATACAGGTTTTTCATTCTAGATTAAACAAAATCGATTGTTCTTGATTGATGCACTTAGCAAAAATATGTTAATGTTCGTTATGAATTTTATGAAACTCGATATTGATTTTACCGTTTTATTTCGTTCTACTGATACTCCATTGCCAAAAAATGTGCCTCATTGGTCTCATAAATATCATTATTTACAAGAATTATATTCGGATACAAAGCGTAAAAATGTAAGACCAATCTATTATCACAGAAGAAAAAGATTTAGTAATTGTTTTACAAAAACTTGTGGGTGATTTCATGCTTTCACTGTATGACACTCAATCAGATAATGAATTATTGTCATTGGAAACTGAAGGAGATGCTGAACATATTTATCGTGATCTCTTTCTTTGGTGTATATTAACTTATCGACGTGATATGGCTAAAATCTTTTTGAGTCAATTGAAAACTCGTATTTGTTCGGCATTGATTGCTTCTAAGATTCTCAAATCATTAGCAGCTTATGCACCGGATCAAGTTGCAAAAGATACATTGTTTGCTAAAGCGAATGATTTTGAAACTTATGCTATCGAATTCGTACGATGTGCTTATATTAATGGTAGACATAAAACATGTGAATTGATTATGCGATGCACGAATCTCTATGGAGGTGTTACATGTCTTCAAATGGCCATTGCTGCAGATAACAAAAGATTTTTACATGAAGATGCTTGTCAAGCTCTGTTAACGAATATATGGTATGATAGAATTGATCATGTTCAAGAACGAAAACGTCTTGTTGTTAATATACTTACATTTGGAATTTCTCAATTTTTCATATCGATTTATTTGAAGTACTTTTCCGATTATGTTAGTGTGAAGCGGGAAAGTCATGTAAGTTAAGAGCAGCTGCGCAATGAGTAGTATGTCTATTTATTGATAGATCATCAAACACGAACGTCCAAAACGACAGTACATATTCAATAAAACAAACACACAATAACTATTTAAAAAAATGTAGATTGAAAGAAAATAGTATCGATTACACTGATGATTATGATGCTGATGAAACGATATTTCAACATTTTTTCCATTTTCACAATCGACCTATTGTTAAATATTGCTATACTTGTGTAAGTTCAATTATGTTTCGTTTTACTTTGGTTATGTTCTTTTTCTACTTTTCTTCAGTTATTATATGCTTTTTGCATTCTTTCCATTGTCAAAAGAGAATCCCAATATTCATTGGACTGAAATATTAACTATTATTACCGTGACTACTATGCTCTTTGAAGAAATTCGACAGGTTTGTGTTTTGTTCTTTGACTAGAGTTCTACATCTTTGACTGAATAGTTATTGACTCAAGACAATCGATCGTTAATTGGCAAGATTCGATCATATTTTGATTTGAATAGTCGAATATCGAATTTATTTCTGGTTCTACTAGCATATCTTCTATTCTATATTGGACTTGCACTTCGTTTTACACAAAAAGATACCCAAAGTTTTCTATCTGCACGGTAAACTTTATGATTAATTCAATATTCAAAGTATGTTTTTTTGTAGAATAGTGATGGCTTTAGATTTAGAACTATCGTTTATTCGTTCAGTTTTATTCATCGGTATTGCTTCAGATGTTGGTCCTAAAATTGTGATGATTCGAAAAATGGTAGGGTGATTGTATTATTATGATTTTGCACCGTTTCATCGTCGTTATAGACCAATGATCTCATTTTATTCATGTTCGTCATCGTTATATTTATTTTCGGCTATGGAGTTTCATCGAAATATTTTTCGTGCTATAGCCTATCCTGTTTATTGTTTTGTTCATGGTAGCATCGATAATGAACGTACACAGTTGGATGGTATAGAAATACTATCTGAAAAAATATATTCGTTTATTTCTTTCTATAGCTACACCGGATTCTGGTGGGAACATAGTCACACAAATCATATTTGCTTTTCATATGCTTTTTGTCAATATATTATTGATGAACTTATTGATTGCTTTGTTCAGGTATGTAAAATTAAGAAAAAAAAATAATACAAATTTTGATTTAGTTTTACAATAAATGATATTCAAACACAAGCACGTTATGTTTGGGCCTACGATTGTTGTGACATTATTCGTACTTATTACGCCCGATCAGCGTTGTTTCCTCGATTCACATTTCTCATTTCAATTATGCAATGTTTTCAATGGTGTTGGAGAAAATTACACAGAAATCGTAATGGAAAGCAAATGCATTATGAAGAACAATCTCAATGTTTCAGTAAATAATATTTTCAACTAAAAATGCACGCATTTACCTAGTTGTATTCGTTTCAGAAATGATTCCAATTAATGATGATGTTGATTATGCATGGTTGGAATTTGAACGATATTCAACTAATGGTTACGTTCGACAATTGCTCGATGATCAAGCTACTGTACTTTTCAAGGGAACGACGGCAGATGTTACGTAAGTTGACACTAGCGAAAGTGAGAATATTGTATTAATGATACAAATACGTAGGTCTGAATCTTCATCAAACAATGCTGATGAATTAAAGCGTATCAAGACTCTTGTGACTGATGTTCAAACACGATTTGTTCAAATGGAAACTCGTTGTGATCGATGGATCACGAATATGAAAGAAGTAAGTTTAATCTATTTTACTTGTCTAACTTCACACTATCTAAAATGTGAAAATAGATAACAACATCAATGAATTGGATGATGATGGCAATGGCAAATGCAAAAATGGGTGAATCAGAGCCTCCACTCATTAGAGACACATCAAGTAAAAAAATGTTTCTATTTTCCTGATATTTAATGCAACTTTATTTTATGTCGTTATTAGGAATCAGTTCAATCAGTCAAAAGCGACATGAGCAATTGAATAAAGAATATACAACAGCAGGACAACCATTGTTACAGCAGGAGCGATCAGTAACACCGGAAGTTCGTATTAACATGGCTCTTCGAGTAAACAATAATAATGATGTTTAGAATTTTTGCTCATGCATAAAGAGCTATTGACATTCTTTTTTAGCTTTTGTAATAATTTAAATGTTTGTATTCATCTTTTCATAACATGCATTGCTTTTTTAAATGTATCAGAAAGTAGATTTCATCTTTTTTTCCTAAAATGGTTAGAACGAACTAGATCTAATTACTAAAGGGTGTGGGTGTGGATGCGGGTATGGGTGTGATACAAGAATAACACCAACACCTACACCCACCCACACCCACACTCACCCTCAAGAGTGATAAACTTTTTGATTTTCAGATTTCTGTTGATCCACTGACGATGAGTACAATAGTAGATCAACATTGTGCAGCAATGCGAGAGCACGGAGTAACGATGACTACAGAACAGATCAAAGCTTCTTTCGATGTATTTGTCTTGGAAATGAAAAAGATCAATAGCGCTAGTGAGAATATGACGTCGATCAAACAAATTGTTTCCATATTGGTCAATTTTCCAAATAAATGTAAGTATCTTGCCGAACTCGAATTGGTTACGCATCAGTTCATGCTCTTTCTACGAGAGTGTATTGTTGATCAACTTCGTCAGCGAGAAAGTAATGATTCTGTCCAAGAACTATTGATCGATCTATCGGTTTTATTTGCAAATATTTGCTACCATATCAACAATACGAATCTTATTCCATTTAAACAACTTTTACTTCATCGACCGCTAGTTAATGAACTGGCAACTTGTCTGAATGAAATTAGTACAAATGGGAAGCATCTGGACAATTTGCGTTTGCTGAAATCAATTCGTTTTCTTCTCTTAATATTTCAACGCTTAGAAAAAAAGCAAACGGAAAATGACGAGACTTACATTGGAACATTATTGCTACCTGCTGTGATCAAATGTGTGAGTTCTTCATATGCTGCTGATGCACTCACCGGATTAGAACCGAATTTTTCACAAAAGCTTACGGAAAGACAAATCCTTCTTCTTAGTACATGTCCTCTGTTTTTGCAATGGTATTCAGGTGATTATAATCGAGATCTTTTCCTACAGCCTGCACGAACTTTACTGACTCTATTCACTTCATGGGTGTTAAATTGTCAATCAGATTCTATTGTTCACTGTTCTGAAGAAGTGAGAGATATGATCCGTCATTTGAATATGATTCTTGTTCGTCCGATCGACTGGGAAACTTCAAACATTTCCAGTCAAGAGTTTTACGATGATTATTGTAAACTAGTCTCACAATGGGTCTCATTCTTACCAATCATAACTCGTGAATCATCTTCCAAGGCATCAGCTCGTACAACAATTATAAGATTCATCGTTCAAGATTTATATAATTTCACGTTACATCCTAGTGTATTAAACTTTATGACAACGATTCCTAATTTAATACCTATACTACTCAAAATGACCGATATTCAACAGGATGAAACACAGTTGAATATTTATCGTTGTTTAGGAAAAATTATGGTGGAAGAAGATATCAAAACTATGGCTCATCCAGATAAAATTGCGATAATCTATATTAAGTTTCTTTCCAATAGTATCGATGATGTGAAGAAAAAAGGCCGATTTCACAGTCTGTTAGAAAGTTTAACTAGTAAGTGATATCCTTCAACTACTCATCTTACTTTGGATTCTTTTAGACTGGGTTCAACACGATCAGTTGAAAGTTTATCTGCTCGATCAGAACATCCTTCCTCTACTGATTCGATGCATCATGGAAACGAAATTTGATCCTATTAAAGCACAAAAACCCGCTCTCGAGATTCTTCTCGCTCTATCATTTAAAAATGATGCTTCATCTTCTCTAAAACAGAATCAACAGTTTATGAATTATGTCCGCAATCTATCCAAGAATACTATTTCGACTGAAGCTAGTTTACAGCGTGCAGCTGAAGGTCTTCTTTGGAAATTAGAAAAAGAGACAGAAGCAGTTGCTAAACCAACTTCGACCAACACACATCAATTCGACATCATGATTAGCTATTCACACAGTGATAAACAAATATGTCACCGGATTCATGAACAACTAGTTAAAGATGGATTTCGTGTATGGATCGATCGAGAACATATGCATGGTGCTACCATGATAGCCATGGCTGAAGCAATTGAAAACTCGAATATTATTCTCATTTGTATGTCTGATGCATACAAACAAAGTGTCTATTGTCAATCAGAAGCCCATTATGCTTTCGAACGTCGTCGTCGACTCATTCCTTTGATCATGAAATCTCACTATAAACCTGATGGATGGCTCGGAATTATTGCCAGTGGTAAACTGTATGTCGATTTTATAAAATTGGAATTTGAATCCGCTTATGATCGATTGAAAGTTGAAATCAATCAATGTCATCAACAGAAGACAAGTCTATCAACAATCATTCCCAAAGAAAAAGATCCACAGAAAAGTTCGGCAACAATTGCTTCATCAGTTGAACAATATTCGACGGTGTAAGTATTCGAAGTTATTCTTATGACTCTGTGTTATAATAAATTTTTATTCATGGATTAATTTTTATAGTAAACTACCACATTGTATCAATCAATGGACTAATGATCATGTTAAATCATTTCTTGTTTCTATTGGTCTCAAAGATACGTTACTTATGTTATGTATTCGAATGGATGGACATCGTCTTATTCATCTGTACGAAATGTGTATGATGAATCGTGAATCAATGTTTCAGTCACTAAAGGCTGAACTAGTCGAGGGTCATTATAAATTATTACCCGTACATGATTATGTTGCTTTTCTTCACGAGATCAAAAAATATGTGCCAATCACTTCTGTTCCGTTAAAAACTACACAGCCTGAAAGAATCCCAATGGCGGTGTGCAATGTGATGTAACGTCATTTTTTGTTAAGTGCTACACATCATGATAACTTTTTCTGGGCGTGAGTATTGATCGTTATTCATTCACATCCTCAAAAGTAAAATGATGCATAAATGAAAATAAATAATAAAACCAGTTATATCGTATTGAGGGTGTGGGTGTGGGTGTAAGTCGGTGGGTGTCAAGATAAGAATCACAGTCGTCCACTCCATTCCCAACCACATCGTCAACTATTAACTGATTGTAATTGAAAAAATATTCATAAAGATTGATTATATTCAATTAAAATATCGAAAGCTGATAGAAGCTTTCATCATATTCAATCGATTTTCATTTTTGATACACTTTCAAAAAATCACAGATATTGATTATTTCGAAAATCAATCAAAATCGTGTGCTTGCGAGCAGTTAGTGATACGGACATGTGATAACAATCTAATTATGCAGTCAACATTTTTACATGAGTACGTCTTTGCATTTTTTTTTACACAGAAAGAACAGAAGAGAATATTCTCTATAAAGAAAAAAACAACATACAGAATAGAAGAAAAAAGTATGTGCTCCCTGCCATATGAAACATCATCAATGTGTAATACCTTCTGATAACAAGCGATTAGTTCTTTCCCACATAAACGAAAAGGAAACAAAGAAAAGAAAAAACCAACGTGTCTTGTGTTATATTTTTCCTACAGCTTCCCACATGAGATTGAAATTACGTGGTTGAAGAAAAAAGAAAATAAGCTGATAAAGAAACGCATACAAAAACATTTACCAAATAATCAGATTGCTATCACATTTTGTTATTAATAATTTATTTAAATCAGATGAGCTAACAGTAAATATCTCTCCGTTAAAAAATCTGTAGCATGACGCTGGACAACGTGGCACAGCAGCTCAAATTCGTCAATATGATGATCTTAATAATAGAACAAAGCTTAATAGTGCCAAAAGAAAGATGGTCAACGGAGTTATTCATAGTCCAGACTTAAAACATACACCGAAACTCGACAAATCATTAAATCAATTGGCTGCAAAACATCTCGATGCATTTCCTAAGTGAAACACGTTTACTTCATCAAACTGTTTTGATTCGAACAAAAATTACATCCAAACAGATAATTCAATACCAAACGAAAGCGCGTTAAAAATAGAATTTATTGATAATGAATAATAAGATTCGAAGTTTAAAGAATTTTTCATCTTTGTGCCGTGTTAAACATGATATTATTGATTAGATTTATAAAGGATATCTAATGGCGCTTTTTATTATAAAATGAATAAATATATACATTTCGTTTTGCTTGTATAATCATTTGAAATTAGGAAAAGATCAATCGATTGTTGGAGGGATGGATGTCTCTTCTTCATCCTTCATCACACCCATATCCTCGTGCTTCGACTATTGTTTCTTGGATCCTCTTAATGACATCTTTTCATTTGTTAGTTCGTTCGATACGTAGATGATAAAAGTTACAATAAAACATGACTGACACAATAGCTATATTTCGACGGCGGACGATATATCCGTCGTCCGCTAAATTCATTGTATTAATTTATCATGGACAAAGTTGTTCGATCAAAAAGCATCGTTTTATATTAATTTAAATATGGATCAAGCAGTACCATCAACAACTTTTGTCAATGATAGTAAAATTAAAAGACAAAAACTAGAAGGTAAATGACATCTCATATTTCTTAATACACATTTTAACTTTCTTTGCTGTTTTTCATAGAAACAACTAATAACAGTATAAATCGGTTTGTAAAATAACAGATTATTTCTTTTTATTATTTTTCTCTCTTAGTTTATTGACAACACATTTTGAAGATCTTTCTAATGAACTTATCTATCAAATATTTGAATTACTGGATTCTTATGATGTCTATATTATTTTCTCTAATCTGAATTTGCGAATTGAAAATCTTCTTACTAATTCTAATCTTCGAATAAATGTCGATCTTTCATCAATATCAAAATCAAATTTTCAACATTATTATAAAGAAATTATTATTCCTCATCAACTTCGAATTAATTCGATTCGTTTAACAAATTTATTTATCTATAATCATTCTTTTTCACCACTTCGAAAGTTAACAAGCCTTTGTCAACTTGAAAAACTTATTATTCATAATATTCAAATGAATTATCTTGAGGAACTTTTAATTTCTTTACGTGTTTTACCAAAACTTTACTCATCAGATATTGAACCTATTGATGTCATAACGAATCCATCGCGTATTTATGATCGAATATTTCGTTTACCTGTCTTAAAATATTGTCAAATCTCTTTTAAAATAAAACCAAATGCTATTTTATTACTTGAAACAACCAATAAATACAGTTCTATTGAACATCTCATTATCAGAAATGATATTTCCTTCCATCACCTCGACACATTATTATCATTTATTCCTCATCTTCGTTATTTATCATGTTTAAATATCTTTCGATTAAAAGATAGCCCAACAAATATTCGACCGATTATATTAAATAAATTAAGTCATATTTTATTTCAAATGAGACATACAACTTTTGATCAATTTAAACAATGGATTACAAATCTTTCTCATCGAATTGAAGTCTTATGTATTTGAACAAAATATGATATGAAATATTTAGATGCCAATCAATGGGAACAATTAATTATAAATCATATACCATATTTAAGAATTTTTGATATTCAATATACTTATACTGTACATAAAGACAATCAAATCATGGCGTGTAATTCAGCTGAAATAGAACAATTCAATTCTTCATTTTGGATTGAACGTCAATGGTCATTTGAACATTTACATGGATGGACAAAGAATTGGGATAATAGAATTTTCTATTCAAATAATCCATATAGGTAAAATTAGATGAATTGTTTTGATATTACTCATGTATTATTCTTATTTTTAAGAAGAAAATATTTTACATTATATGGAGAAACTGGTCAATTAGAGAAAAAAATTCATTTAAATACAGTTCTTCATGTTCATATTCGAAGTCTACAAGCAATAATCAATTGTATTTATTATTTTCCAAGGGTTACAAAAATTACATTTGAACATATATTTGATATATCACAGGATTCAATTGCTACGAGTCTGAATTGTATCATTCCATTGAAACAAATAACAAAATTAGTTGTTAATTGTCATTGTTTTTCTTTCGAACAAATTATTCAAATCTTATATTTAACATCTAATCTTTGTATAATGATACTTAAATCTATTTACCTTTCCATACCAGATTATTGGTCTCTTCAACAGAATGAAAATTTTCAAAGAGTTTCGAAAACAAATCGAATAACAAATATAACAATTGAAGAAAAATGTAAATTAATAGACATTCGTTTACTTGTGGCTTTATGTCCTCGATTGGAACATTTAACAATTCATATTCCGACTGATGTTTTTCAATTAACTATACGATTTTTATTGTCAAAAACTAATGAAAATATTCGTCGATTGTTTTCATTATGTCTTACACATGAGTCTAAAAGTTTAGTTGAGACATTGAAAACCTTTATTGAATCCGAAAAATTGCTAGATAATTATTTCTTAGAGTTTTTTGAAGATAAATTGTATTTATACTGGTAATTAGTTTTATTTGTTAAAGACGAGATATATTCAAATAAATATCAAAGTAAATCTTGAATGATTGATAATCTACTGTACATTAGGATGCATCTTGAGGGTGTGGGTGTGACTGTGAATGTGGATGCGAGTGTGGGTGTGGGGTGTGGGTGTGAGTTAACAGGAAACACACTCACACCCATCTACCCACACCCACACCCACACCCACACCCACACCCACACTACCAATGAAAAGATTAAATCATCGAAATCTAATAATTGAAAGAATATTGTTTCATGTATTCAACTTTATTGGCGATAAATATAAATAATTTTAATAACGTTTCTTTGTACGTAAGTTGTGACTGAAGAAAAGGTATGTATAAATGATATCACTACGTGGTATAGAATCAAATATAAGAAAAATAATTTGAATAGGTAAACCCAACAACAAGCAGCATAGTGACTTCGTTCATGAAGTCTCATTGAGTTTGTGAAGTCTAAGGCGGAAAAAGCAAGACTTTCGTACTTCACGACTGACTGCTAAAGCTTTAATAACTAACTATTTTTATTTATTAAAATAAGAAATTGAGAAAATACATCAGTTTAGACGGAAGCAATTGAAATCATTTCCACTCTACAAAAATTTTCTCTTCAATACGTTTTATCTTAAAATCAACAAGTAAATTTTCAACTTGAATCATTTGATTTAATTTTAATATCATCTTATCATCGGCTGTTGGTAACTGAATACATATTAATCGAAGATTTTGAAATTTTGATCTATTTCTAATTTGAATTAATAGAGATCGAAGAAAAAATTCAACATTTATCTTAGGTAATTCATTAATTTCAAGTTGTTTAATTAATGGACAAAATGCAAGAAAAAAATTAATTTCTTCAATTTTACTAATTTTTCTAACACGAAGTTTTGTAATTTTAATATGAGTTGTTGAACGAAAGATTTCCATCACTTCATCTAATGTTACTTGCCTTGGATATAAAAATGATATCATAGAAACGTCTAATGAATCAAGTTCACGTAATAAACATAAAATTTCAGCTAACTTATCAACAAATATTTTTTGTTGAATAACCAAATGATCAATTTGCATAACCGATAGAACGTATTTTATATAATTATGAATATTATTTAATGTTTTTGCAGATATATCGTCAATAATAAGTTGTCTAGATTTCGATAATTCTTCAAAAGAATATATTTTCTGCTCTTGTCTATCATATTCAAACCATTGTTTTCTAAATAAATGAATTTAGATTATTTTTTTTCATATTTTCTTTTCACATACTTATATGCATCAATGATACAAATTATGAAATCACATTTTATTTCAATTTTCAATAGCCATTGTCGTTGAAGCCAAAATGATGTCAAAAATTCATTTGGTTCGTCTGAATGTAATGGTGGTTGATCATCATTCCGAAAGCGGACGAGATATTTCATAGAAAAGTGTTCTAATTGTGGTAAATTTTGTAAAATAATTCTTTCCCATCGATAAGCATTTAAATAATTTTTATTTCTCGACCAGATTCTCAATGAAAGTGTTTTTAAATGGAATTTAAATTGATTAATAAGATTTTCAAATCTATCAAATTTCATTGAACGTACTTTGATTGAAAGAGATGTTAAATGTCGCAAGTGATTTAGAGAGAGAAGATTTAAAGATGTTTTCTTGTTACCGTGAATGAAAAAGTTCAACCGTTGTACTTTTGGTGTGTAAGATAGAAAACTATCAAGTTCTTCTATAGAACAAGAATGTTTAATAATTAAATGTTCAATTGAAGATAATTGTTTATGTGTAGCAATTGGTAAAGAATGATCGGCAAATACATCTATGTAACATGTTTCTATTTTGAAATATTTTAATTTTGATAAATTTAAAACTAATGGATAGATTTTACATATGTGTAACTTATACATATTTTCAATTGTTAATGAATATAATTTAGGTAGTTGAGTTAATTTAGGAAGAATCATTAGAATTATATTTGGTTGGTCAAGATTAAAAATAAGACATTGAAGATTTTGATATGATGAATCGAAATTACATAAAGAAATTATTTCCGTAGTAGGTCTGCATGTCTGAATAGAGATTGAGAAAATATAATTTTTTATAACATGAGATATTTGTTGTAATTCGTCCACAGTGTTTTGTTTCATAGGTCGATCATCAATTCGAATTTTATATTGAAGAAATGGGCAATGAAGTAATTGTTGAAAACGAGAATTAAGTATTGAAAACGCTATATATATATCAGTACCATAAAGATACTCAAAGATTTCATAAAATATTTCATTAGAGAAATCTTCAATTGTTGTTATTGTCGACATATTTAAATGAAAAGCCAATCAATGCACTATAGTTGAATATTGTCTTTATATGTGTCATGTTAAAGTTCAACTTTTGACCGCGAAATTTCAGTTTCAACGGGTCATATTATATATGTTATAGGTCAATCTAATATGCAAACTTAGACTAGTCCAGTTATGTATTGCCAATAAAAACTTAAGTATCTTTTTATGAAACATTCTGGCGAATAATGTATCGCTTAATTCATTGCTAAAATGGAAATGAAAAGAAGAATATTTGTTTTTTGACAATTTAAAAAATCTTGATTTTGATTTGAAATAAAACATTTTTATTAAGATTTTTTTCAAACTTTTATTTAAATAATTACTGTAACAAAAATAAATGAAATCTTCATTTAGTTGCTAAAAAAAACTTTTTATCCATAGTAGAAGCATATTCGAGGATTATTCCGCTTTCTGAAAGAAGGGTTATAGACTGGATAAGAATGCTCAAAGTTTGTTTGTTCAAGATAATCAGGTTTCAACATTTTATAAATCAATGAAAATTTATCGATGGTCATCAGAGAATGATTGATCAAGGTCGAAGAACTCAAATCTGATTTTAGTTTTTCAAATTGATAATAAAAACATAAATAATAGTATTCATATTGTTCAAGCTATTAATAAATAATTTATCGATACTAGAATTGAATCAAATTCAAATATCTGTTGAGATTGAGAAAACCTAGCCGGTACAGAAGGACATCTTTTATGCATTTGAAAAGTATTCTTTTTGAATCGATAAAAACAAACGATCACATTTTCGATTTTTTTTCTTTCTTGTGATACCTTTTTCAATTGCTAAAGGGCATCATGAAGGTTTGGGTTTTTCTGTTAGTCATACTTGCATTCTTCCACACCCTCAAGCTTCTCTTTTTTTTCATTGAGTAGAATTGTCCTTTGGCTCTTTTTGTTAATATCTAAATATCGTTCGTTTCAAGTGAATTATTCATATTTTTGTTAATGTTTTTGTTTTTTTGTATACGTAAGACAATGCAATAGAGGTGTCTTTTGCACAGAGATTGAATGCATCTACTTCTCTTTTCAGCTATTATATATAGTGGCTGCATTTGAAAAGAATTATTCAGAAGTGCAGACTATTAACTTTTTAGCAGATCAAAGTTTCTTGATGAAAGTTTCTATTTTCTATTATTTCATTTTTGATCATTAAGTTTCTATTTTTTTATAGATAAATTTATCATTTTGAGAAAACAACGACTTCTTTTAGTGATCATTCCTACAAGTTGTTGGTTGCTGGTAATAAAGGTGTTGGAAAAACACTTTTTTCAACAATTGATAGTGTATGTATAGCCGAGACATCTTCTATTCTATAACTATTCAATATTTTCATTTTAGATTCTCAATTCAGAGGAATGGAAAATCGATTATGTTGGTTACAAGGAAGTAAGTTTATTTTAAAAGTTCTAATTTGCAATATAATTTTTTTAGAGAAAAAAAGAAATCAATCTTAATGGTGAACGGATTAAACTCACAATTGTATGTCTTTGATTTTGTTCGGAATTGATAAACTACACGTTTATTTTATGTTTTCCTTCTAGTACGATAGTAGCAGTGTAAAAAATCTTCATCGCACTAAAAGTAATCTTTTATTTTGATTTATTATCAAGAACCTTTTTAATTTTTGTATTTAGGAAGTTTTTATAAACGTGTACACGGTATTTTTATTATTTATGACGCAACAAACAAAGTATGATTGTAATGTATTTTGAAAGCTTGATTTGAAATAATAATTCTTTTTTTAGGAATCATTTCAAAATTTAAACAAATGGTTGCGTGACATTAGTTATTATGGAGATAAACATGTGACGAAATTGGTTATTGCAAATAAATGTGATTTAGCAGAACAAAGGTAGTCAATTTCAACAAAGCTACAGTAAAGTATATTTAATAATTAGGAAAACATGAACATTGTATTTTCAATTAGGAGTATTTTACTCGATCAAATATTTCCATGTTCGAAGTTTCTGCACAAGATTCTACTAATGTTGAATTAGCATATAAACATATGATTTTGAAAATTCAATCCAATTTAACATCAAGAATCAATCATCAACCGGATCAGTATAGCAAACGAATTGATTTAGAATTTGTCTATCATATATCTAATATTGATCCAAATGATGCCGAACAAAATGTGACTGATCAGCGTCTTCATGATGGTACAGAAAATAAAAACGAGCAGATTTCGATTGAAAAGAAAGCTAAGCAATCAAATGTTATTAATCTTTCAAAAACATTCGAAAGTTTTTGTATAGAAAAAGTTAATGAATTAAAATATTTATTAAAATTATATAATGTCACATTTAACTTGACTATAACAATGTGTTAACAGTTCTTTCATTCTAAAGTTTATTTCTTATTCACGAAAAATAAATAAAACGAAATATATATGAATTCTAGTTTTTATATTGAAGATAAATGTGAATGAAAATGAAGAATAATTTATATGACAACAACAAAACATACTTGTAAATTTCATTGATTAGTCTCCATGAATATCTTTTAAAAAGAAAAATAAGATATTTTTTTTATATATAGTTAAGGTAAGATGTCTTTTATTTGAGAAATAAATATAATATATTCTCAAAATAAGATTAACGTATTTGATCTGGCTCGCCATCAGCCGTTGTTGCAATAAATCAGAACTTTATCTAAGATATGGTTTTAAAGTTATTTATTTTTTATTTTTTAATGTTGTATATTTATGATTTCTGTTTTGAAAAATTATGCCTGTGAAAAGTGACACAATCTTATGATCTTAATTTTATATAAAAGCTTCAAAGTAATTATTGAATTCAACTTTAAATTCCAAGACAACGAATATGCATCGATTCGTAACTAAGACATTGTAGAGACTTTATTCATAAGATGATCATTCCTAGATAGCGAAAAATCGCTAAAGTTTAACGAAACTAACGATATTTCTATTATAAAAAAAGATATTGTGATATATTTCAAATACAAATATCAAAGTATAATACTTTTACTTGGGGTAATTGTCCTAGTTCTGATAGATATAAAGTAAGGCATTATTTAGATCTCTCTCGTATACTTTGAAATAGTTAATAGAAATATGATTTACAATGGTTATTTTATATATTTTTTTCTTTCTCAACGCTCTTTAGTCAAAATAATATATAAAACAATGTGTAGCCTGAAGCATCACATGTGGTAAATAGACTTCTGCAATCGGCACTGCATAAAAATCAAAAGCACGAAAAAGAGACCTGCAGCGTGTTACCAAAATAATACAAAATACATTTTTATACCGAAAAAAAATGCATAGCAATGATGTTAGTAAATATATTGCTGACGATGTATAGTTTTATAGCTTCGTTTTGCACCCACACCCACACTTTCAACATTAGAATTATCGAGAGTGAAATAATATTGTAAATCAAATGTAGTTACTTACCAGATGATATAAAATATGTATGTTGTATTTGGTATACTTCTTTTTGATTTTGTTTTATATTTATAGTTTGCAAAATCACTTGATTTCTTCCAACATACATTTGTTTACATGAGTCATATTATGCATAACATATTTATTAGATAGGTATTGCTTTTGATTACATTTGATAGTCTTACGATACGAAAATATGAACGAACGTCTTCATCTACAAGTGTATTTTATAAGATGCACGAAAAGCAAAAATAAAGTAAGACAATTTCAAGGTGGTCAAGGATCTGTGTGCTATGCATATTCTTGAACTTTTTTTCTAGTGGAAAACTTGAAAAAACCCTGAAGGTGTTGAAAATGGATAATTTCGCAATTTTTCATAGATAACTCTTTATTTTAATATGTTACGAGATTGAATCTTCTAACTTAGTCTTTCTAATAGAGCATAGCAATTAAATAAGAAACTGGATTTAAACCATTTTTAGAAATGTTGATGTGTGCAGATGGATTTGGATGATGGTGTTGGTATATTATACCCACACCCTACGAGTAATGAAAGTTATAAAATTAGTTTTAGCGATACAGCTCATTGTGACTGGTAGAATTTGTGGATATTTAAAAGTAAATCATAGCTGCAATCAAAAGATTGTCAGTGTCATAAACTCTCTTGAGGGTGTAGTTGGATGCAAAGCTCACACTTCTAAAACTATTTATGTAAAATACGAAATTAAAACTTATGATATAATATCTTTAAATTAATTAGATACAATTCTCGCAACACAGAAACAAAACATTTATTGTAAAACTGATCCTCTGCCACATCACTAACGCTCACATCTCGACAAAAAAGAAGCAATACTGATTACAAATACAACATGTACTTTTGAAAATTTCGATTTTGTGTAAGAAATATAAAAAGGTAAGGTTACATTTAATGCAAACTGCATTGTTATATAAGTTGACAAAACTATCTAAAGTTTAAAATAATTCTAGATTAGCGAACAGCAATATTAAATTAAAATTTGAAGATATTTTTTTTCATTTTAGATTACGCGTATTTGAACCAATAAAACAACTACAAAAAAAAAGAATATGACCGATAAAATAAATCCATTGATAATCGATTATATTGATCCATGGACATTTGAACATGTAAGAAATGTTCTACAACCAACAGAAGAAGAATTGATATACTTCGTTAAGTTAATGCAACTTCTAAATCAAAAAAGGAAACTATCTGAGAACTTTGATTATAACCTATCAGTGGTGATTGATGATTTTCTCTATCATGGTACTATAAATCATGCGAGCAATATGAAATTACTTAGAGATCTCAACATTCGACATATCATTAATATTTGTCATGTACCATTGGAAGAAGAAATTATAAAAAATTTTAATGTATTATGGGTCGATATGCAAGATGAAGAAGATGTCAATACCAATCAATATTTTGAGAAAACAAATGATTTTTTACTTTCATGTAAAGAAAAGAAAGAAAAAGTATTAGTTCATTGTCAAATAGGTATTTCTCGATCATCTTCCATTATTCTCGCCTATATAATGAAGTAGCATTTATTTTTATGTTTACAGTCGATGAGAAATATTTTTTTATTCTAGATATCATCATGATACTTTGATGAAAGCCTACGATTTTTTACTTGATCGTCGTCCTATATCATGTCCAAATCCTAGTTTTCTTATGCAATTGATTCGATACGAAAAGAAATTGCGTAATAGTGGAGAAATTTATAAACAAAATAATAATGATGATAAACAGAATCCAATCAAAACACTCAATATACCAAACACTTCCAACTTCGAATGGTCGTTCGACTAAAAAAGATAAAAAAATTCATTATTTAATTCAGAAATAAAACTTCTACAATATGTCGTGCATTTTAATTTTATAAAACAGTAAAAATTACTCTACTAAATTTCAGTTTGATGTAAATAATTACTCAAAATAGATAAAAATGATGTAATACTAATTTCGATATTCTAATTCAACAGAAGGTCTGTCTTGATATTAGATAATAATTTTTATCTATCATATAAATCATTTGTTGAGTATGTTATTAGTTATCAAACCTTGTAAAACTAAAGAAAAGAATGAAAATATCCAATGTGCCGTGCAGACAGGGATACAATTTATTTCATTGTAAATATGGAAATTTCGAAAAAACAATCTGTATATGCTGCGCAATTTTATGGCTCATTAAGATATAAAAAATGCAATATGCTAGGTGATAAATAGTCGAACTTCGAACATAAATGTCAGATACGAATTCAAAGAATATAATCGAAGAAGAAACTGAAACAACCATGCAGCAAACTATTTTACTTAATATTCCACCACGATTACAATGGGATAATGATAATGGTTATTGTGGCGAAGCAGCTCTCCAGTCTATCAGTATATTTTTTGTCTATGAACAGTAAAAATAATAAGTATTTGATTTGATTAGGTCTCTATTATGGTGCTTGGATTTCTCAAAAATTGATTCATGATATAAATGAAGGTGAATATCTATCGCAACCAGTGCCACCCAATGATCATCGAGAACCATTGCGTACTTTGACATTACTTCATTTCACATATAATGAATGGGATTGGATTAACTCTCCTCAGTCATAATTTCGTGATTTTTGTCATTGGATGAAACGATCCATTTTACGACGACATCCTGTCATATTTGGTATTTTTCTTCGCCGTATGAATTATGAAGATTATGATCATATTATTCCAGCAGTTGGTATACGATATCAAAATGAAGATCAATATGATGCACATGATACAATCATCTATTATGATTTATATGATGTTGAATAAATCGAGAAAAATCTCAATGAAGAGGAATTTGGAGCAACTAGAGAA